TTTCTATTTGAGGAAATTTTTAATTGTCAAGATTAATTATGAGATCCATGACAAAGAGCTCCTTGCAATCGTGGATTCATTTCAAGAATGGCGTCATTATCTAGAAGGCACCTCAAAACTAGTTACTATGTATACAGACCATAAGAACCTCGAGTACTTCATATCAGCACGTGTCTTAAATTGTCGCTAAGCGTGTTTGAACATGTCTTTATCTAGATTGAATTTCAAGATCACTTATCGACCCAATAAACAACAAGATCTAGTGGATGCTCTTTTTAGACATTCTTATCTTGTACCAAAAGAAAGAGATGCATCTTTTAATCGACAAAGATCAATTCTCTTCAAGCCCGAGCATTTTCATTTTCAAGCTATAAAATCAACATTGATTGTTGATTTAATATTTGTGAAGAAAATTCAATCAAGTATGTCCTTTGATCTTCTTATTCAAGATATCAAGGATACTTCCTCTAAGTCCCATGATACTTCCAAGTTTGAATTCAAGAATAATCTATTATATTTCGAATAACGCTTATATGTTTCAGAAGGTGAAGCCCGATTACATGTTCTTCAAGCTTGTCATGACTTTCCAGCAGCAAGACACTTTAGATACAATAAAAATTTAGAACTAATATCTAGGGATTTTTGGTGGCCGCAAATGTGGAAGGCAGTCAAAGTTTTTGTACAATCTTGTGATGTTTGCTCAAGATCAAAAACTCCTCGCCATCGACCTTATGGACTTCTTCAACCATTACCTATTCCAAAACAACCATGGACTTTTGTTTCTATGGATTTCATCATGGATCTTCTAATCTCAAGTTCTTATAATTCTATATTTGTGATAGTAGATTATTTTACCAAGATGGCATATTTTGTATCATGTACAAAATCTATCACATGTGAAGAAACAGCTAAGCTTTTCATTAATAATATCTATTGCTATCATGGATTACCAAAGGATATTATATCAAATAGGAAGACTCAATTTGTATCAAGATTTTGGAGAGCCCTATTCAAGATTCTAAAGGTGGATATAAAGCTTTCTTTAGCTTTTCATCCTCAAACTGATAGACAAACAAAACGGGTAAATCAAGTTTTGGAGCAATATTTGAGATGTACCATCAACTATCATCAAGTTGATTGGACAATTTTTTTACCATTGGCAGAGTTTGTATATAATAATTTGGTACATTCTTCCATTCAAAAAATATCTTTCTTTGCCAATTATGGTCATCATCCATGTCTTGATACTTTTGACTTTTTAAAAGTTAATAATCCTACGGCAGAAGATTTAGCAAATCGCTTGTTAGAGCTACATATAAAAATGAAGATGCAACTAAAGGAAGCTCAAGAATGACAAAAGACCAATATACATGCCTATCACAAGGAACAACCACAATATAATATGGGCAACAAGGTATGGTTACTTTGTGTTTATATCAAAACTACTCGTTCTTGTGATAAATTAGATTATCGTAGGCTTGGACCTTTTTCTATTTGTGAACAAATCAATTCTGTTGCTTATCGATTACATCTACCGAAGTCTATGAAGATCCACCTTGTATTTCACGTATTTCTTTTGGAGCCGTATAAGACAGTGAATATCTTAGGAAGAAGACAAATGTCACTTCTTCCTATAGAAGTCGATAATAATCAAGAATTTGAGGTGGAAGAAGTCTTAGACTCAAGGTGGTGCCAAAATAGGTTGGAATATGTTCTTCATTAGCGCGGATATAATATTAGTAAATATACATGGGAGCCATCAAAGAATCTTACAAATATAAGAAAGAAAGTTGAAGTCTTTCATCAACGACATCCATTAAAACCAAGATGAAGAATAGCAAATCTTTGCTTTAAAAGAAACAAGATCAAAGGAAAATAACATTCTACCTTCTATCTTTTATTGTAGCTTTTGTGTATTAATGATGAAATAGAGTACCAACAACCAGCAGATTCAACTCAAGAGCTTTCATTTGCAGACTTACCAGACAAGATATTGCGATTGTCACAACCTTCAAGACGACAGAATCGAGATGAAGATCCTCAAGAATGACATGTTCTTCATCGAATAGATGGCAAGATACAACGTGTTTGATATCACAACCTTGGAAGAGAATCCCGATGTTTAGTGATTTTATTAGAGGTAGAAACTACTCTTGACGGTGTTTCAAATGTTTTATTTGAAGGAAGTTATGAAGGCCTTAACAATGACCAAATAACAAGGTGGTCTTCTCGCCCTGATATGGGACACTATGGATGGTTGAGAGGACCTATCAAACATCTTCAAAGAGAGCAAAGATCGCAACATGTAGCAAATATAATTTGCCATATCTTGGACTTCCTCAACACATGAAGACCGCTCCTCATGGAACTCATCTCTAGAAGGAGAGGTAATGTCACGGACATATATATTTACCTCAATAGTTACTTATATGATTAAGTAGAAGTAGGTAAAATAGAATAATTTCATAAAGTCTTCTAGAGAAGCTTTTTAGAAGCTTCATAGACTCGGTTTTGACTTTAGATGTATTCGTAGGTTAGAAACTTGGCCAAAAAGCTAACCATGTATTGGTAGCTTGTGGAATAAGTTACCTCCATGTAACAGCTTGTGGAACAAGTCAATTATGTGGCACATACATAAATAACTTGCCTTACAAGATAATACATGTTACTAACAAAGTCAACACATGTTGGAGGTCCTATAGGACATCGCCATGTGGCTCTTAGTTAGATAGTATATATAGAGGCAAGAGTGAATCCTTCTTCACTCTTAACAATGTTTTTCTAGTCTTGGTCTTGTTTCAAGACTTTCTAGTCTTTTTATTTTTGCCAATAGCCATCCTAGTTAATATTACATCACCTTTTGAGTGACTTTCTAGTTCTTTTTAGTGATAGAAGAGTGTATTGAGGATTCCCTTTTTTTGAGATTCATGTCCTTGATAAGCATTGATTATGGACTTAAAAAAAAACTATCATTTATTGAAGCAAATTAAGACTCTACATACAAAGCAATAATGATAGAAGAAGTTGATGTAATCAAGAGAAATAAAACATGGAATTTTATTGACTTACTAGTTGTATAAGAGGCAATATCCACCAAAGGGATATATACTATCAAACAAAAATTAGAAGGATCCATTTTGTACAAAAAAACTTATCTTGTGGCTAAAGACTTTGAAAAAATATAAAAAATAAACTATATTAAAATCTTTGCTTGCATTGTGTATTAAAAAACCATTTGCAATCTAGTGGCAATGGTTGCATGCAGCAATTGGACATTATGTCACATGGATGTTAAAACTACTTTTTTACATGGTAATTTATAAGAAGAGATATATGTTTTTTTAACCTTAAGGCTACACTATCAAAGATTATGAAAACAAAGTATATAAGTTGAACAAAGCACTCTATGGATTGAAGCAAGTTCCACAAGCTTGATATCACAAAATTGATGAATATTTACAAGAACAAGGCTTTATTAGAGGAATGGCAAATAATAATTTATACTTACTTAAAAATAAAGGTAGAATTCTAATCTTGATTCTATATGTGGATGACCTTTTTTTTACAAGCAACAACCAAACATTAATCAAATAGATTAAAAGTCAACTTGAAATCAAATTTAAAATGTCAGATATGAGAGAGAAAAATAAAATCTTATATCAGCAAGCTAAATGTGTACATATCAAAGGATTGGATATTTTCTTTAATCAAAAAAATATGTATCTGATATACTCACTAATTATAAATTTAATTCTACTTTAATAGAAAAAAGACTAATTCTATACAAGGATATGACAAATAAAGAGCATGTGGATCTTACAAAATAGAAATATTATTGGAAAATTATACTATGTCACTTAAATGAGACTTAACATCTTTTATTTAATTAATATACATAGTAGGCCTCTTCAACATTTGCAGAAACCTTATTTCAATGCAACAAAAAGAATAATAAAATACTTGAAAGAGATCTAAGATTATGATATTTTATACAAATAATAATAATAATAATAATAATAATAATAGATTAATAGGATATCTTGACTCAAACCATGCATCTTATCTTCTCCAAAAAAAGTTAATAATTGAATACATATTTATCTTTGGAACTAATTTAGTAACTTGAAAGTCAAAGAAGCAAATTTGTGTAGTTGTATCTTCCACTAAAACAAAGTACATGGTCCTATCAAATGGGTTAAGAGAGGCCATGTGGTTGAAAAGATTATTCAAAGACCTTGGTTTTATCTAAATTGGACCTATATTGATAAATTAATAGAATACAAGTTCAATGAAGATGACTAAGATTGATATATTTTACTCACAAATAAATCATATTAATGTTCATTTGTACTATATATAAGAACAAATTGAAGAAGGTAACATTAATTTTAACTATATTCCTATAATAGAATAATTGGTAGATATATTTATCAAACTTTTATTAAATTTTAAGAACAATTCAGCATAATTTCATTGCAAGACTTGGAATAAAAAGACAAATGGACTAGACCTAAAATAATATTAAATCAATAGCTATTCCATGCCAATATTGTTCTTTCCACTCTAACAAATAACAATATCTACTTGAACAATTATCAATGTATTGATTAGTAATACAATTGTAATAATTGACAAACTGATTGGCCAATCTCTAATATAAAGATATGAGCTCTAAGGTGGTGAAGGACCATATGTCAATTGATAAGAGATATGATAGAAATAAGCTAAATATTATATTAAACTTGAATATTTTGTATTGAACATTCACAAGAAAAAGACAAAAAAACTCAATTTTGGATGCTCTACAAGCAATCTATTAGAACCCTTTGCATATGATTTTTTTCTATACTCTCTAAGTTCATTACACTCTCTAAGCAAACCAAAAAGGATATGAAACATGACAAACAAGAACTACAAGACATATCCTACACAAGCAATAGTGCCTATATGTATGTACTTAAGTAGAGGGTATGTAGTATAATACAGAGTACATATTAAGTATGAGGTACTCGGTATAATGTACGTTACTGAGAATATTTGAGCATTGTGAGGAGCAAGACTCATCATCTTTTATGGTTTCTCTACTTATCTCGAATACCTTCATTCCTCGCTTTACCCCAAAATATACGCAGGGGTGTCAGAGGAGGAGGTGGCAAAGGAGGAGACTTTGGAAAACATGTCGACTCCGCAAATAATCGTCCTCTTAATCCTCGAGAAGAATGCTTGTTTTCGACTCCAGCTGCAATTGTGCACCTTGTTGATGAGCAACAGAACCCTCGATTGGCAACTGACCCCTTCTCAATCGTCCGCATTACTCAAAAGGGCAACGGCAGTGTTGTGATTGTGCGTGTTGGAGAGGACTTGCATTGGCCTTTTGATGTATGATGTGCTAAATGTTAAAATCGATCCTACTCATTACTTCTTCACACCTCCACTTTGGATGAGGACACTGGGAGTGAGTCGCTTCAAATATTTACTCCTGAAACTTCTGTAGTACAGTTCCTTCATTCAAGCAGAAAATACGGCCAGGTAATGAAATTCGTCTCTGTGAGTATGTTGCGTTTGTCTCTATGGTTCCAGAGAGCGAATGGGTTCCTGTGTTGTTTGTGCTCTGCAGGGTGATCGCTTAGTAACGCTGAATTACGGAGTGACGTTTCCGGACCATAAGGATCATGAGAAAGAGTTCAAGCAGTTAGATGAACTATTATCTTTGCACAGTTCCTTTTCATCTCCAACCCTTGTACATGGAGATCAACAAAAAAACAAGTTTATTCAGAATACGCAACAGTTGCCATTACATGAGAAAGGGAACGAATTCGTTGCTCCTTCAGCCAAACCAGATAGAAAGTATGGTGGTCAAGGAAGTATTATGAAGTGACGGCAAGCAGGTAAGAAATGCAAATGTGTTGGACCTCCAAGGGTGGAAATAAAAATGTAAGGAAGTAAAGAAGAAAAAAGAAAATCCAAGTTGTTATCAACTTTGTGATTGTTCATCTTGTTAATTCCAGAACTGCATGTATGATTCAACTAACATCGGGGGCTATGATCAGATCGATACTACGGAAGAGAATAAGGCTGCATTTTGGACGACCATGGCGCCAAATGCCGATGATTATGGGTCAAGCTCTGCGAGGGCCATTGCAACTGGTACAGGCCAAATCATTCGTGGAATCTCTTGGGTTCGGGACTCCATTGTAGAGCAGCTTGAGAAGGGCACCATTTGCATGAAGAGCAAGCTTAATTCGAATGACAAGCCAAGCACTATCACTCTAAAAGCCCTTTGGAACACGAAGCGGTGCTTTCTTCGTACTCAATTAAAGTGGCATTCTTTTCTTCCTACTCCCTAAAATGAAGAGGATATGGATTTGTGGTGTTGGTTTGGTCATGTTTACCACAACCGATTGTCTTTGTAATCCAGCCAGATTGTTTTTTGGTGATTATGGATTGTTTTGTTTCTCATTCAAGACTTGTCTGTGGGAATCGGTGTATTCAGGGTTCGTAATATATCCCGGGCAACTGCGAATGTAGTGAGAGGTGTCAATGGCAATGTGAAGGAGGCAAAATTCATGAGTAGACATGATAGGCAGCTAATAAAAAAGGGTCGAAGATTTTCCAGTCGATGACTGGGGAGGTGGGTCTTGCATCGACTGATGCGTTTGGTAAGTCTTGTTACCCCTTTCGACTGTTTTACTCATCTGAGTGTTTGAGATGACGTTCGGTGGCAATTCTGCATCTGGTACCAAGACCCTTCTTTGACGAGATTTCGTTCACGTTTCAGCCTGCTGTCAGATTTACAATTTGCAGTTGTGATCACTACACAAGAACCTTTGCTAGGCACGATTCTCAAGCACAAAGCTACAACGCCTTTCTTTCTTTTTTCTTCTCGGAACAACCAAAATCATTCTTGTAAACTTATTTGTTTCCCCTTAATCATTCTGCACAGGCAAGCTGTGTGATGCTGTGGAGGAGGCCACTGAAGACGTCTTCTCTTCCTTTGAGATGACGCAAACTGTCGTCGCGCACAAGTATGATCTTGTTCTCTATGTATTTACACCCATTCTGATTGGAAATAACAGAACTTTCGGTGTTTCATACATGTTTATATATACACACAGAGAAATATATATATATATATATATATACATACACATATATACATACATACAGATGTGTGTGTGTGTGTGTGTGATGTAGGATGAACGATGTTCGTCACAGATACAGAGAGCCAGCAGGACAGTGGAACCGATTTCATGCAATCGTTTTTTTTTTTTTTTTAATTTATTTATTTATTATATCAAGTCATAGCAAAAAAATTACAGAAAGTAAATATTATACTTTCACTAGAAATCACAAAAAAATATGTCGTTCTTTTGTTATTTTCTAGTATGGGAGTTGAATTTCTACTCTTGCATTTTTAAGCTATCTTAATGGATTTGCTTAAGTCATATTTGTAAATATGTTTCTTACAAACAATACATTGGCTTGGTTTGTATATATATATTTTATATTTTTTCTATATTAGTACATTTTGTTGAAATCTCAAAATATCATTTAAATCATCTTTAAGAATTTAAATATATCAAACTTAAGTACTACTTATTGTATTTATTAAACAGAGAACAATAACAGTTATAATCCTCTTCATTACATCGATGTGCTTATAAGAAAACATAACATTTAAACCATCAAACACAACCTTGCTATTGGCATTTTTTATTACACAAACTTTGTAATGTATCATATAATACATGTTAAAACTTATTTGCCATTACTTGAAATTGGACACTCACATTAAATTTTTATACATATAAATGTATATATCAAATAAATATATATATATATATATATATATATAATTAGAAATAATAAAAATATATCATATAATAAAATGAATCAAGTACTATTAAGTAATTAGAGACCTATAACTCTATTGAATACATCTTATAAAATATTTGCAAAGAGTTTACAACAATAGTTCTAATCTATTTTAAAAGAAAATATTATTCTGAATCAAGTTTATTTTTAATAAATTTTTAGTCAATCAGTTGAAATATATAAATATAAATATATTAAAATATTTATTATTATTATTATTATTATTATTATTAAGAAATAAAAATAATTTTTTAAACTAATTTACATTATTTATATATTTATTTATTGCTACACAAGTTTGAATTTTACAAAGATTTCATTAACATGATCAAGACCTTATTTGTTAGAGCTAAATGAAAAACTAGTATTAAATAAATTAAAACAAACAACCTTCTTATTATACAAGAGATAAAACAAGGTTTTCTAAAATCTCTCTATTTCTTCTTTAAAGTTGGTAAAAAATACAATTCAACATTTCTATGAATAAAAAAACAAAAAAACAAAACAAAAAAAGTAATGAATAAGACTACCAAAGAATAAGATATATTAAATATTTGAATTTGGTAATTTAATGATTCTATGTTTACACGTAAAAATAAAGAGTAATCAATAAAAAAATTAGTGGGTATTTTGCACCACCTAAGCAAAGTCTTTAGCAATAAAAGAAAATAGCCTAGTTATGAAATAGAAATAGATGAACTTATGCAAGAAATAATAAAGTCATTAAATTGTTAAACATCACTTGTAGTCTATTATTACAATTTAAACTACAAAATATTTTTTAGAAAGCATAAAATTTAAATTTAAACAAATTACTTAAGCAAATAAAAAATTTGCCACTAATTTACAAATTTAAATTTAAGAAGTCAAGATCATTTGTACTCTCTTTTGAGAAATATACCTTTAGACAACATAGACCCAAAAAAAGTATTGTACTTTAAGTTTATTTAACATGTTAATAAACTTATAAACATACAAAACAATTGATTTAAACAAATTTATATAAGTACAAGGAATTATCATGGGACAAAATGCTAAAATTTCGTATTATTCTTAAAATAATCTAAATATTTAAATTAAAATTTAAAAAATTAAATAGAAAATAGAAAAAAAATTAAATGACAAAAAAATTGATAAATTTTTTTAAAAAGAACATAGAAAAATCCATCAATTGCTTGGGTCTGTTGCTTGCTATGTCTACCTCCAATCAAATCTTATACCTAAAGTGTCTTATCCCTTTGATTACCTCCATTAACTTAAAAATCAAGTCAACCCCTTGTATGCATCACATACAAAATAAAAAATAAAAAATAGAAAGGAAAAAAAGAACACTATATATATATATATATATGCAAGGGAATGTTAAATAGACCCATTTTTTTACTAAATCAACATATCCATGATGAAGAATATGGTAATCATTATGAATGTGGTTGATTTACATTGGTTTTGGATCTAGTAGTAGAAAAAAGAATCTATAGGTAAAAAAAAATCATGATGAGTGGGGCAATTTAGTACAAGCTTGGGTCTATTTAACATTCCCCTCTCTGTATATATATTATAGATATTTTAAAAAGTAAAAAGAAAGACGAAAAGTAAGAAAAAAGACGCAGGATGCTGCTCAGTGGTGGCGAAACTCTCGCAGCGATGGCGAGAGAGCTGGATTTTGCATGTTGCGGCGCTTCCTTCGCCCTCAAGCTCAAGGTCTCTCCCTCTCGCCCTCTCCCTGATCTCACAAGACCAGGCTTCATGGAATAGCTTCCTTGTTTCGTGCTCCCTTGCGGGTTGAGACACAATGATGATGCCGTGTGAGGGAGAGAGAAAGCCATTTGCGTGACCCTCACTGCGTCAATGCAGCGCCGCGACGAACACGAAGCAGCAGCACCAGCAGCTGAAATTGATATTTTTCCTGCCGTTCGTTTTTTCGAGTTGCATCACAATCACAGATGGGTTTTGCGGTTTTGATCGGTGCGGAGATGGTGTTGGTGTTGATGGGCAGCGACCCATCCGACACCGAAGCTTCCAAACCTTGACTCTCCATTTCAAGCAAAAAAGGGGAATCGGGTTCGTGCGTCTTTCTGTGATGCTTCAACGTGGCCGGCGTTGGTGAGCGAGTTGGTGGACTATCTCGGGATTTGATTATCTTGGTGGACTACCTCGATCTGCCATGGATCAGCAGATTGTTCTACTGTCTTTAACCGTGTGTTCTGGTCATTGTTTTGCTTTCATTTGGTTAATGGAGACTCTTTTATAGAAAATGTATTATCGATGTTTTGAATGCAATGAAGCGGGCGTGTTTCATTTTTTAATTTTTTTTTCAAATATTTGTGTTGGTTCTAGCTTTGAGTGGATAGTTTGAATTTTAGTCCCCCGTCTAGGAGTTGGTAATACTTTCAAATGTTATAAGTCGAACTTTTTTTTGAGGTCCAGACGACATTGGATCAACCATGCAATTGTAGACTTTTATACGTGATTGAAGGGCCTCGAAAGGGTGAATGGTATTGAATTAATGTCATGCTTTGTCTCGTAGAGTGTGGTTTTGAATGGGTGTAAGAGAGATCTACATGCTCAATTGCTTACATACAGTGCACCGAGACTATACCTTGTTAAGGTTTTGTGGAAACAGAAGCTCGGGTTTAGAGCTGCTGTTTATCGTGTTATTGGTGCACCCATCAGAGGGCTTTATTGAACCTTCTTTAGCTGGCCGAAAGTAGTAAGGACGCTAAATTTGTTACTTCGTGACTGCGTGATGAAATTGAGATACTCTATGACCTATTGTTATCGTTGCTCTGAAAGTTTCCTTCCATGTTTGGTAGCCAACAATATTGAAGAAAATGCTCCTAAGGATGGAAGCATCAGAATTGGCACAAGAAGTAAAGAGTTGTGTTGAAAGTAAGGTCGAGAAATTACGTCAACATTTGCAGGCACAGAGAGGACCGAAGACGATCGATGAAACGCGGAGGTGCTTGGACATTCACCCCTCCTTGAATTCATCGACTTCAGGTCTGACAATACTGAGGAAAGCGGCCATTTCGCAGAAGACAAAAATGAAGACTCAAAGCTCAGGCGATGTGCTTTGCATGGGATGGTAAACTGACCCAGGGATTGACTGTGTTAGACCCTGTGGAATCAATGACGTGTTTGATACGTGTTTGGTGACACTATCCTTTGGTAAACTGACCATTGAAGTCGTCGAGGATATTTGAAATAGTTTATTTTCCTGATGTATGGCAAGAATTTATGGACCATGTGAGGCGATTGATGGAAAAAAACAACTGGTTTTAGCAGTTTTCCAAATCCAGGCATGCGAGTAGAGGACGGTTTTCAAGGAGCCCCACTAATCATAGATGCCTCTGCCTGCACACGTGGATTGATTCGGTGATGAAGTCTGGTAAGAATATTAGGAACTTTCAACTGGAGAGTGACGAAGGTGCAGGAGGCTAACAAAATTATACTGGGTTTTTGTTGGTGGTTTGATGTTGTCCTGAAAGAATAGTAAACATCGTTCTGTGACAAATTCTGCCGCTCTGCATCTCTATTCTGATGGTTCCAAGTAAGAGTTTAGCTCTTTCCTCGCTTGCCCAGGCAAGATTAAAAGAAACGTTCCTGCAGATGTGGAGTTCACAACACCACCACCTGATTGCGCCATCAATGTCGTGGGAGTCACGAGTGATGATCGATCGGAGGAGCTATCACTGTAGACAAATTTCAAGGATGCAGTGCGAATCTCTGCAACATCAATGTCACGATTGTTGCTTTGGGTTGTAATACTGTCATCTGCACATCCACCAGCTTCCGGAATATGGCAGGGGCGTGGTTGGATGTTGAAAGTGTGTGGATCCCCTCCTCACATTGCTACAGTGCCTGCTTGTGATCGTAGTCTCGTATATGCTTCGCACATCCCCTCCTGAATATCATCGATCATGGACACGGAAATGACACATGTTAACCCTATCTTTCAGGAAGGTTTATTCTCAACGCTCCTGGAATTCTCACCAGACGTTGAATAGTTTTTTACAGTGTACCTTGGGCGTGAGGCCTAGATCAAATTGCTACCAGCAGTTGAAGAAGGAGGGGAATGAGGGGGAAATGAATAAGAATACTAACTAAGCTTGTGATGCAATAGCTTCGCAAACAAGGAAAACAGACTGAAGTCCGATGGAAACTTAACCTAAAGGACTGGCTTACAAATCAGTGGGGTTACAAAATTTGTAACGTATTTGAGATTTGTCTTCAATTTTTTTTTCCCCCCTTAAATAATGATTTAGGCATATTTGTGAAACACTGAAAATATTTGTTTCGAATCGGAACAGTAGACTTTGAGTGGTTATTGTCAACTGTTTATTTAAACTACGAGCACAACAGGATTCCAATAAATTTGAATCATATTCAGATCATCAAAAGCACTTTTCGAACGCTATCACAGCACTCACACACAAAAGCGAAAAACACACCCTCACAAAATTCCGTAACATATTTCGCACAACGTCTTGGAAGTCGCGACGAAAACATTGGACGATGGTGAAAATCCTCCTCCATTTCGCCCCATACCCAATGGATTTTTTTTAAACAACGGGCGCGGCGTTATTTCGACAACCGCGATTGTTTGCACATAGAGCGCAATAGAGAAGGACCCACATCGGTGTTGTGAGGGTGCCGTGCGGGTGAAGTGTTTTCTGCTCCTTTCTGTCACATCCGTCGCCAGTGGCAGAAAAAAACAGAGGAATGGTGGAAAAAATAATGATCACCGAAAAAGGCGGTCAAAAGTCGATTCAAGCAGTGTACGCCTCGCCGTTTACGTGATTTGCGAAGTCTGTGATTTGATATACCTAGGATTGGGATCTCGATCTCTCGGCTGCGTTACCCCCAAGGAAACTGGTGATCCACTTTCCCAGGGAAATGTAGCAGTTGTATGATGAGAGGTTGCAGCTTCGCAACCACCACCACTGCCGGGCTCTTGTTCAATCCTTCACTCCAGTCAAACCTCGAATACTTTTTTCGGCGAGGTGATAGCTTCATGCGTTTTCCTCTTAATTTGTTTTCTTTTTTCTTTTTTCTGCATTGTGAGTATAGCCACATTTTGAGTATGTAGATGACTGATAGTCTGTAAACTTTGAAGTGGTATGACCCACAAGAGATGGGACTCATTTAAAGACTAACAAAAGAAAAAGAAAAAGAATCTTGTAGAGAATGGATGCGGCTGCAGAATTACTGGATTGCTGCTTCATGACGCACATGAGAGCTTTGGGATAAGATTGTGAGTCAGCAGGAGAGAGTGTATGTGTGTGAGAAAGAGAGAGCTTAAGAGACGTATTCGCCAAGCAGATGGCACACCCTTCGAGAACATTGCTTGCACACAACAAGCCACCAACAAACAAACAATCAATCAAGCTTTGGGCGGAGCCATGAGGGTTGTGAAACTGAGCAGTTAAGGGATACCAATTAAAGAGAGACACGCGGTTTCGCCACCTGTTTTCTGCATTGTTGCAACTTTTTTTTTGTGTCTAAGCAGCTGTACATGAGGACTGCTGGATCAACGGTTGTCTCCAGCAATTTTATCTCAGAAGCCTCACATTCTGCATAGTTATTCTCTGCATGTGTCTTCTTTTCACATGGTTTTTTCTTTTTCTTTTGGTGGAACTATTCAACATCCGGTGAGGCGAGTCGTCAAGGATTCATCGACTGGCTTTGTCTTGGTGCATTTTTTGCACCTATGTTCAGACATGTGTGATGCCTTTGAATTGTGTCCCCAGTGACCTCTTGCACATAGTGCTTAGAATAGCATCTCCAATGCAAAGGAATTTGATGTGGTGTAACTAAAGAATTGTTGAAATCCTGCAGTAATTTCTGAAGCTTTTGAAGACTCCTGAACCATCACACAAATCTTAAATAAAATGAAAAAATGAAAACCAAAAAGCAAAATATTCACAGCTTGAACTGTAGGATCGCTTGCAGTGTGTTTCTGCCAAATTCTGGCTTCATTGTACGTGCAATGCAAGACATACCATGGTTTAGGGCTGCAGAGTGAAAAAGCACCATTTCTTCTGCTGCTGCTGAGGCCTAGCTGGAGCACCACTTATATAGATAATGTCCTTAGGCAGGAAAGCACCCTACAGAAACATGCACAGTACCCCATGGGACAGCCCAAGTCCACTCATCAATTAGATGCTAATTTATCGCAATTGGTCATTAGATAGGCACCATGCATCCACACATAAAAACCCATAAATTTTTTAACATAGAGCTGTGATCCTGCAGAAGCTGGCTTCTAGAACTGCAAAAACTACTGCCACCTGTGCGATCATGCATGTCCTGTGTCTGGGAAAAAGGGGCTCCTCGGAGATGGAAGGCTCTGAATCTTCAGACATGGGCCGGGTTTTTATTTGAAGAGACAACAGCACTAGGACAACACAAAACATCAACCACCATAAATACAAGCGAAAAAATAGGATAAAAGCAACAAACTGAAACGAATTAATAAGAAGGAATTGTGCTTCTTCACGGGATAAAACTCACTCCCCAAAAATGCTGATCATTAAGCAATCACAAGCATTGTTTCCACAAAGTCGGCAGGTGAGGAACAGCGGACAAAATTCATCAACTCTGACCTTCGTTTTGAGAGGCACCACCTTTATATCCCAACCCTAATGGCTCTCTTTGCACCACTTCGCTGAAACCCTATTCGGATTTGTATGCAAATAATGTATGCAGAAAACAAGAGACTAATTTGGTGGCTTCTGCGAATAGATTGGCTCAGTCACTCACTCGCTTACATGATGCAACTTGCCAATTTGTACCCATTGCACAGAAAGTACTACTTACAAATATAAATATAAAAATATATATAGTCTGACGCATCTCAGAATGATTCAATGCTCATCGCACTTGACTGGTTGCAGAGAAGCAAGCAGGATTAAGACCTTGACTTGATTGCACAGTAGTTGCTTCACTCCTAGTCCAAGGGGGCACTCTAAACCCTAAACCTGGACACGGGATTTTCAGCAACAAGTCAAACAGCATGTACCCAGCATTTCCCGCTGTGAAAGTAGGCTTTTAGCTTTTGCACGAAGTTGAGGTTAATATAAAGAATACGGAATACAAATACCGAAAACTATTCCAAGTTTATCTTCCACTATATTCTCGCTCAAGGTACAAACTTTTATGACTTTCGACCTCATGTCTGTGTTTGCTTTTTTCAACACAAAGGTGCCTAGATGCCAAACCCTGACTCAATGGAAAGGGAGTAGTCCATTAGAGCAATTTAGTTGAGGCTCCAAACTCCAACAGTTGTATCAACAATCTCCCTCTTCACAAACCCTGCCCTAACTACCATCAGATAATATAAAATCTTGGGACTGCATGACTTGAGCCTATTCACAGGTTCTGGGTGGCAGTTGTTTCGTACTTGTGCCCCCTCCCCAAAATTTGTGAAGGACAATGCTCTTGAACCTACACAAGAGAAATGAGTTGTATTCTGCAGTTTTGTTGTCATCAGTATTTGAGATGGATATCTTTCCAATTGAGTACGAAGCATGTCAGTGTAAAAAAAATAAATGGAGCAAACAAATAGTAACTTGTCCTGAATTGTCTATGTCCAGGCAAGGACTGATATGTCCAGACAAGGACAACTCATTCCCCTCAATCTGCCTGATGCCATGGACCTGTTGACACTCACTCACTTACATAGAACCCTCACATTGATTGTCTCAGTACCAAACCTCACTTCAGGATGAAAATACAGAAAATCAAAAATTATTTAAACCGTATGTATGTATGTATATCCACACATTTCAAAGAATGCAACCCCATTTTTATATTTTCTCCCTTTTTCACATTTTTCAAGATGGTGACAAGTTAGAGCCATTTGGTTGTGATGGATAGGGTTCATATGAGAGACTAAACAACACAGACATGCCCTCTCATTGGCAAATCTAAACACTACATATATATATATATATATATAAAAGAATTTTAAATAAACCAAAGTTTTTACTAAATTGATCCACCCATCCTAATCACCATGAAAAAAAATAACAACCTCTAGATTCATTCTCCCACTATTGGATTTACAACCAATAAAAACCATGCAACCAATAAAAACCAATTATATTTATCATGATTACCATATTCTTTATCAAAGGTGGATCTATTTAGTAAAAGTATGGGTTTATATAACATTCTCATATATATATATATATATATATATATAAAAAAAAAATAAAATCCAAAAGAAATGTTTTTAAAACAAAGATTTTAGTATAATTATTTTGAATTGTTTATTTGTTTTATCTTCTTTTTTTTATTCCCAACAATAAAAAATTTAGCCAATGCAAATACATATACAATTCTCAAAATACAAAATTATCATCCTAATTCAAAATATCATTGTTGCCAATTAAAATATTAAAAATAATTTTTTTAAAGCCAAATTATAATTTGCAAAACATAACTTTGCCAATCTTTATTTATTCATATTGATTATCCTACAAAAATATAATAATGAGTCTTTAAAATAATAAAATAAAATTTTAAAATATTTAATAATTCAAATGTTTCTATTTGCATCCTAATGTAGATTTTTAATTAGACACTATTTTTTTTTATTAAAATCAAATTGTGTCAATGACATAAATCATAATAAAAGTCAAAAGAATTAAAACATTCTTGTGAGAGTTAAGGATAAAAAGTAGATAAATCAAAGATAGATAAAAGATAGAAACTATAATAACTATTGTAAAATAAAAAGAGATTAGAGATTCTTGAACCAAGGCAAAAACACAATAAAGGCATTGGCAAAAATAAAAAAGACATCACTTTTGCTTCTATACATACTATTCAATTAAGAAACTATGTAGTGATCTTTTATATATCATTTGATATGTGTCTAATTTGTAAGACACATGTCTAAATTGCAAGACAAGTTTCTAATATGTAGTTATATGGACAATTTATATAACAAGTGACAAACATGTATGATATGTAGTGAATATCTAAAGTAAGTGATAAACCTGGTCGATAGGTTATTTTAATTATTAATAGTATTCCATACTAAAGAGAGAAGATGACCCTATAATTTTATTATTATTGAGGCCTTTATTACTTGCTTCAAAAAATATATTTAAAATATCATTAAAAGTAGTGTCTACATCTATTAATATCACTAAATATTAAAAGACTCTTCAAACGTCATGATATCAAACATATTATATTTTTTCATTTATTTAAGAAAAAATATTTAGTTCTTAAAGATCTTAATGTCTATTAGATTGTCTTAAAGACTAATCAATTTTAATACATTGTCTGATAACTTAACAAATAATAATTCTTGAATTCTATTTATTGGTTATTGATTCTTCAATTCTTTAACAATACAAATATAAAAAAATCACAAATAATGATAGAAGATTGCCACAAATACATTATATAGGAGACCAAATAAGGAGTTGAATAGAAGAGTTTTAACAAAAAAACTAATAAGAACTTAATTAACTAGATAAATATAAGATCAACACCAAGAAAGGTAAGTTAGAACTCCAAGAGATGTATTGTTGAGACTAAGGATCCTCTTAGCCTTGACTCTTATATATACTAGATATTAAGAAGCTTTTTAAGAAGTTTCCACTTTGTTTGAAGATGAAGCAACTATAGGAAGTTCCTTAAGAAGTTTTTATGTTGCTTGAAGATGAAGCAACCTTAAGAAGTTTTTTGGCTAACTTCTTTAATTCTCTTAGGAATTTCTAGAACTTGTTAGAATATTTTAAGAATATTTTAGAATATTTTAGAACTTAATGGAATATCTTTAGAATCTTCTTATTAGATGTTCATAATAAAGATAAAATATAATCTTTATAGAATATATTTTACTATATAACAAAGAATTGTTTGACTCTTCATCTTCATTTTAATGGATGTTGTCAATGAAAAGTATCAACTTTATTTATTATATTTTAAAGATTTTTTTGTTACTTCCATGTATATTTACTAATATTATATTTGTATCAATGTATAAGATATTTTATTATATTTTGGCATTGCCTAGAATATAAGACTTTTTTACATCAAATATTTTTATTATTATTAACTTCTACAAGAAGAAGTGGCATTTATCTTCTTCACAATATATTTATTGTGTTTTATGGCTTAAAAAATACATAAAATATAAGATAGAATTTTATAGACTCTAATAGGTCTAATTAAAATACAATTAAATTGATTTGTTTATAAATAAGAAACTGTCGAAGTCTATAGTAATTTATAACTTATTATAAAGTCAAATAATACTTGATATTATGATAGATTAATCATATTTTATTGCTACCATAGAATTGAGGTTGTTCCTTGTAATAGACATCTACTTTGATCTTTTGTTGTTCTTAAGCTTCACTTAATTGTACCTTTATTGTTGCATGTATTTCTTATAAATAAATTTTTAATTTTTTTATTATAAGATTATTAACTTTTGTAAAGTCTAAAATATTAAAACATAGATGATAAACATAATTAGAATAAAAAATAATTATTTAATAGAAGAATATAACATGTAATAATAGACAAACTTTGCTAATGGTAAAATAATTATTAAATCATCTTCATAGTAATTAATGATACATCTCAAATATTACTTTAATACTTGATTTAAATATTTTTGTTTGTTATCACTTTGAAGATGGAGGATCAAAGATAGTTTAATGTCTATGTTCAAAATTTTAAAAATAATTCTTCAAAACCTAGATAAGAATTGATTCCCTTTATTTGATAAATAAGATTCTTTGATAATCAATAATAATAATAAATATTATTAAAAAAATTTAAAATAAACTTATACTTATAATAATTTTTATACATGATACAAAATATGCTATTTTAGTGAATCAATCTACTATCATAAATGTAAAGTTATAAAAACTTGAGATTGGAAAATTTGTGATAAAATCCATAAAAAAGATGACTATAGTTGTTTTGGCATAGATAGTAGTTGCAAAAGACTATAAGATTAGTAACAAGGAATTTTGATCTTAAACTTATATTACATGATTGTACAAGATCTTTAACTATATTCTACATTTAAAGCTACCAAAACTCTCTTGAGATTAATTTTAATGTGTTGTTGTATCTAAAATCTTTTACAACTAAATTGTTTTATTGAACATGAAAGCATGTAATTTTGTTTTATCTTTTAAAACATGTAAATATCCTTTGAAAAAAAGTATATTTTTTTAAATTCAAATTTAAAAGTATCAAAAGATTTGAAAAAATTATTATTGATATCATACACAAGAAGATTTGAAGACATACTTAACTGAACTTGATTGAAAAATGTTGAATCAATAATTATTAATTTCATTACTTAGAGATGAAATTGCTTTAGCTTCAAAAGAATTATTTTTTTATTAATAAAAAATTACATTTATTTTTTTTAATGTAAAATAAAAATATCTTGAAAGAAAATTTAACAATTTTTTATTTATTTTTATGGCCAATAAATAATATCAAGTATAAATCTTGACATATAAATAACATAATGGACATGGCAACAATTCAAAATGTATGTCGATAGCTCCTACATAGAATGACATTTGTTCTAAATTTTACCATTTATTTTCAAGTTGGATTTAAAATATGCTGCATTAATTTGTATAGATTCTAATCCTGATGAATAAGTTTCTAAGAATTAGAAGTTATTATCATTACTTGATTTATCTCTTTCCAACCAAATATTTATTCTTAGTATCTTTCAAAGAATCAATTATTGCATGGAATAGCTTAAGTAATAAATTATTTTTATAGTTTTTTTTATGTTATTAATATTAGATCTTTAATATTATCTTTTGATCCATATTAAATTTTTGAATTAATACTTTATCATTCCAATCAATGTTGCAAGCAAGACTTTGGAATTTAACAATGTAAATAGTAGTTGATTAAGATTTTTGCTGTAAAGTTAAGAACATGTTTGTGCTACACTTTTTCAATTATTTTTTTTTAAATGTGTATAAATACTTTTAAGAATAAATTTAGATTATATAAAAGTTTTGAATCATTTTCTATTAAAGGTGAAAATCAACAAAAACCACTTTTCAATATGAGTGGATCTATAAATCCAACTTAAGTAAGTTCATCAAACTATTGAGAAGAATGTAATTTTTAATGAAATTTAATTTATTGTAGAAATCCTCAAAATTTTGAACTTATTCTATTTTCTTTGGCATGTTGATTTTTATCACTTTCATACTCATAGTAGCAAGACTTTTTGGATTTACTTGCAAAGTTGATCTATTTACTTCTTTCAATTAAACAACTTATTGGTATAGATATTAGATTTTATTATTGACTTCTTCTATAAGCATATGAGTAATACTTCTATAATTGATATTGGTAGTAAATGAAATTTCTATCCTAAAAATATTCAAAAGCTTATATAGATATATAATAGTTCTAAATCTATTCTCACTTTTATTTAGTGTAGCATCTATGAATTTTTTTTTTCCTTCTATTTTTACAATAGATAATTTTATCAAATCCATAAGTCAAATTAAAAGATGATAATGTATAACTTCTTATATCAAATGAAAACTTCCACAAAGTGAAGTAGTTTACTTTCTTAAAAGAAAAGAATTAATGTTAAAAAAAATATATATTAAACAAATGTTAATTTGAAGGTAGTTTACAACCTTTGAAATACAACAATAAGAAAAGAGATAATCCACTCACTTCTTAAAATAAAACACAAAGATCAATTTAGTATTCTTGTCAAACTATTGAGGACATAAATTATAACAAAACTTCAAAGAAGCAAAATATTCTTGTGATTCTCAAGGAAAGAAAGTAAATAAATCAAAGATAGATATAAAATAGAAACTTGAATGACTATTGCCAAATAAAAAAAGAATAGAGATTTTTGATGATGCAAGAATAAAAAAAAGGTGTTAACAAGAGTGAAGAAGGCTTTAATTTTGCTTCTATATATACTTTCTAACTAAAGAACTATGTGACAATGTTCTACAAATCATCCAATAGGTGTCCAACTTTCAAGACACGTGTCTAAATTGCAAGACATTTTTCCAACATGTATGTCATATGACCAACTTGTATAACAAGTGATGATTATATACAACATGTGGTCAATTTGTAAAGCTAGTGGTCTACATGTGTAACATGTGGCCAAATTTTCAACCTATCAATGATCTTAAAATACTTTCAAAGTCAAATTTGCATCTATAAAATTTTTAAGTAGCTTTTCTATAAGATATTATTAAATTCGCTTAATTCTACTTCTTCTTCTAAATTCTTCTATTATGTATAATAATTAATATAAATATACATGTTTGTAACAAATTGAGACATACCTTGTATGAAATTCAATTATTATATTAAAAAAATTATTGCTTGGAAATGTTGGATTGATGGACAAAGTACTCAATCACCATTATACAACATAATAATCACAATCTTTGTACATTTGATATTATAATTAGCATGAGATTTGATCAAGTAATGTAATTACTTCAATTGTCACAATTTCAATATTTATTATACTATCATTTGTATCTTTCTAATTTTGAGTTCCAAGGTTTATTTTCTATACAACAACTATTATTCTTGGTGTAGATAGAAGTTATACAAAGAAAATAAGACTAAAAATTAGATCATATCCTTTGTATTATCCCAAGATTTAGAATTTGATTTTAAAAAAAGAATCATAAATATTATGTTTTATTTTATTTATTTATTAATTTTGTTAAGTACTAATATTATACCAATGTCAATGCAAGTATATAATTTATGTCAAAGCAATAAGTTTTATATTTGGTATTTTTGTAGCAAATAAGTAATTAAAAAATTATACCATAGCTTCTATATCATATATCCATGTAGCTTATTGTAATTGATTCAAATAGGTTCAAAGAAAAAAGATTAGGATTTCATCAATAATTTTTAAAATATATAGTATCTATAATTATATTTGTTTATATATATATATATATATATATATATATACAAATGTTTTCAATCTTTATCAAGAATATTGGCCTAAGAACACACTAAATTTTTAAAATTTGTATATTATTTAAATGTATTTGGTGACATATATTAAGTAAGGTGAATATATTTAAGCACAAATATAATATGGCATTGATTTTGCAGCACTTCCTTGTGGAACATATGAAGGAAATCTTGCAATGAAATGTAGATACTTATTTCCATTGACTACAAACTTTCATACCAACAAAAGTTTGACATGCATATGACTAAAGGTTAAACTTGTGTTTAAATTGATGTGTCAATTACAAATCTTAAAATAACTAATATTTTCAAGTAATAATATATATATATATATATATATATATATATATATTTATACATAAGACTTTTTAATTAGTATAAGCAGAATTATAGATATATAGCACTAATTTTGAAAATTTGAAAATGGATTTCAGAAATTAAAAATTTACCATCAAATTGTTAACAATGTTTGAATCCTATATAAAATGAACTCATAAAATATCCTAATGGAATTCTTCTTTTAATATTTATATTTATATACAAGAGCAATTCAGCTTGTTTGATAGTGCTACTACCAGGTGCAACTCTTTATTAATTTTAATAATGGATCATCAATTTTTCAAAAGATAATTGAAATGTCATCCAAATAGTAAAATTGAGCCTCTTTACAATTTATTCAAACTAAATAGGAAGAATAGTCCCATTTAGTATGGAAGAACAAACCAATTTGGTATTGGTGATGTTATAACATGATGAATATAACCTCATTTACTTGGACTGTGCTAAGTTCATAAATTATAGAATTTGACAAGATGTGGTTTTAAAACAATTCAGCTAAATAAAAATCTCCCACATTAGCTGGAAGACATTCCTCTCCTTTACATGGCTCATTAGGGTTTTGGCTTTGGCTTGTCAAAAACAATGCAAGTGAACGGGCTCTACAAACTCAGATACCATTGTCCCCCAGGGCCCAATGAGACCACTCACATTGGGATTAAATTGCAAAAAAACACAACACATCACAAAATCAAGAATGAGAAAACACAAACCAAATGCAAGAGGCAAAACCCAAGTGTAGCAGGATTGTTTTTAGTGCGAGACCCAGTTCCAATGCTGCAATGCACAAGTGATCCCCCCAGGAGCTTTGGGGGGGGGGGGGGGTCTAAGCACGAGCGACGTCACCAAGGCCAGCCGGCCTAAGCGGGGGTTGGCCCTCCGTCAGCTTGGGTAGGTTTGAAATTGGTGGAAACTCCAGAACCTGCCCGCGCCCACGCACCATTGGCACTGGAATTAACTCCCCATAATCACGAAACTCAAGCGGAGCGAAGAGGATAATTCTCACAGAGACATACACTCACTCGACGAAGACAGATAGATAGACACACAGACAGACACAACAGGCGCAGACCGGGCGAAAGCGTTTGAATGCCCTCCTCTTTCCCTTTTTCCTTCGTCCCTGCCTGCATCCGTCAGTGCAGAAGTGTGCCGTGTTCGGCTTGCGAGAGAGGGATCGGAAGCGAAGCAAAGGGGGCTAGGGGCTAGTTGTGCGTGGGTGGGTCGGGGATCAGACGTGTCCAGCGTGCGCCATCACCACTCAGCGTTTATTTGCGTGGAGGATTCAGTGAGCTCTGCGAGACCGTGGGAGGGTTTGTTCCCGGGGTTCCCGTAGGTAGTGAAAGGAAGGCGGAGTTTGAGGCGAACCGCGGCGGCGGATGAGATTTTCTCTGGTACGAACTTGTGGGGAGGGGGGGAGGTTTGTGAATTTCCCAAGGTTTGAGGGATTCCCGAGTGTTGTGGCGGATGAGGGGTTAAGCAACAATTAGAGAGGAAGGGGAGCGCTTGCGGTGCTGTGGCTATCAGTGGCTTGGGATATGTTGCCCTATTTCATAGTTTTATTTAATCTTTGGAACTCGCTTGCCTTGGTTGGGGCGCTTGTTTGAATGGTTCGGAGTGTGTGGTGTGGTTTGCTGCTAGCCGACGCGGGCAAGCGGACGGAAGAGAGGACTAGGACGAGCAATCTTTTTTGTGTTATCGAGCGATCTTGCCCCGTGTGCGACGATGTTCGCATTGTTGAGACTTATTGCGACCAGCTGTGACCTCTCGAGTTTCTTCGCTCTTTGTAACGACACTGCCTCGGGTTCATAGATTGCGGTCCTCGCTTGCGTTCAGGTTGTTTTGTTGTCTCCGATTACCTCTAGGCCTGACGACGCCTCTTGCGGAAGGATTGTCGTCTTGGAGCGCCATTCTCGCCTAACGGTGCTGCACAGGTATACTTTACTTGAGGTTAGACGTAGTTTGCGAGTGACAATCATGACATTTTCGTAAGTTTGTCTTGGCAATGACAATTTGCTTGGTATTGTTTGGCGTGTCGATAGGCCATGAATAGTTTCCTTGTTTCATTATATCCCACAGAGGATGTATGGCCATGAATTAGTTGGATTCCAAGAGTTTCTACTCTCTAAGATTTAATACTTGCAGCCGCCTCTCTAACAGAAAGCGGAGAAATACTCGATATTTTCCTTAGGAGAAATCAAGCTTACGCGGGATAATCACTACTTAAGTTTATAATCACCACAGATCTTCATCAGCGATAGAGTGTCTACGCTCAATGTACCGAGTAGCACTGAATTAAAATTTGATTTAGAGGCGATTGGGGTTTGAAATGAGTCATTATAACTGCTATGCAACGGCGTCGTGGTTTCGTGCAGGTACCCTCACTATGTTTGGCAAAGATCACTTAGAAAACTTACCTGCAATCATTTTGTGCTTAGCTTCAGGAGCAATTAAGCCAAGAAGCATGAATTATGAACAGAAAGGAGGTTGACCAATAATCTCTAGAATTTAAGCCGTTTCCTCTGAAAAGAATTTTTGTAGCTACCGAGGGGGAGCTGTTCTTTTGATTTTTCCCGGCAAGGTATTGTTCTGTTGCTCTGGATTCTATTTTAGCACCTTGACGGGTCTAGGAATTGATAATCGCTATTTGATGGGAACTATTAGCTTACTTCTGCGACTTGCCTGGCATGGCATGTCAATGCGCAGAGGAATCTGGAAACGGTGAAGTGTCATTAAGGGAGAATGCAATTTCAGTGAGCTAGCAATGGCGGACAATAGTTCAAAAAGTCCTGAGGTTATTCAAGCGCAAAGAAATCCGGATCAACCAGGTGATACACGATGTACAAGGAATGACGGCAAAGTTTGGCGATGTAAGAAGCCCAGGGTGGAAGGGAATCGGTTTTGTGTGAGCCATTTGAAGCCTGTACCTGCGGGTGGTTCGAAAGCTGTGAAGAGACGGCATTCAACTACCGATATCGCACCGCCTGAGAAAAAGCCCCGCAGAAGTGGCGGTTTGGGGTCGGACGCTGCGCTTCACGACTCTAATGATTCTCAGGAACGTTCTAATGAGTTAAGGACTGGAGGTGAGGATGCTACTCGTAAAGTGCGGAAGCGGCCGCAGAAAGTTACGTATGCCGCCGAATTCCTCCCTAATCGCCGCAAATCAATTTCAGGAGAATTGACAATCTGCGACATCTCGGAGAAGCCTAGTAATGGTAAGGTGGAGAAAGAGGACGGAATCAAATCGAAGATTGAAAAAACTTTCGTTCGGAAGACTGAAAAGAAAGAACTCGTGGCAAAAAATGAAGATGATGAAAGCAGAGATACGGTGGTTTTGAAGGTTTACAAGAAGGAAACTAGTACCAATGGTAAGGCCACCAATGGACATTCTTCTCTGAAAGTGGTCAAGAAAGAAGAGAAAGTTGATGAAGGAAGCGACGAAGACTCAGATGACAGCTTTGAGAAGAAAGTCGCTCGAGGCCGGCGCCCTAAAGAGGTGAGGGCTTGCAGTCTACACAAATGTTAAGCAGTTCTTAGTTTACCTCTGTTTTTACACTGAGGTGCGCGTGGAATGTTCGGAATATCTTCATTGCTCTTACTCTTTACACTAAATGCCTAGTCATTTGAGGTGAGACGACGTTTTCAGGGTGGCGTTTTATATAGCAAATTAGTAGTTCTTAGAATTTCACAATTTTGGATTGTTAGAGCTGACTACGTGCTGCTTTGTGGTGCTAGGTCAAGTGGAAGAGCACAGATAAAGATGATAATCGGAATGGAAGGAGTAGAATGTGCCATCAGTGTCAAAGAAATGATAAGAATCGGGTTGTCTTTTGCACCAAATGCGATTCTAAGCGATATTGCGCTCCCTGTATTAAGGCCTGGTATAGTGAAATCGAGACCTGAATTCTCCATGATGCCTCACGCATTTCTCAGTATTACCAACTTTCTCTTGACCTAAGCAACATTTGTGAGACGTTCCGTGTTTTTTCTCCCCCTTTTTGCAGGTATCCACGTTTGACAGAAGCTGACGTCTCCAATGAATGTCCCTTCTGCAAAGGAAATTGCAACTGCAAGGCTTGTCTTCGAACTGATGGACCTAAGCGGGTGAGCACTTAGACCAACTGGATCTATTAGGAAGCAACTCCGTATTTGTTTTAGATTCTGAAAGTGTTGTCTGTTATGTGATGGTCCTGTGGTTGTTTGTGGGCAGATTGCTAAGGAAATATCAGAAGCAGAGAGGACGAAGTTCTTAAAGTACATGCTTAATGGAATTCTTCCTGTTCTAAAGCAAATTGAGCTAGAGCAGAAAGAAGAGTTGCAAATTGAGCGCAAGATTCAAGGTAGTTTTCAGCTCATTGATTGTAGTAGTCTCTGTTGAATTAAACAGTACACTTTGATGTGGAAAACTCAGGCATTTTGTTAGTGAACTGATCAGATTGATATGTTACATGCAGGTACAGAAGACATCAAAGTTGAAAATGCGAACGTATCTATGGATGAGCGAATATACTGGTATTACATCTTTGTTTTTTAACGAATTTGATACATAATTGTTATCGCTTGTGAACTTTGGAATGCCCTTAATAAAATTTGGGTGCAGTTCTTTTATAAACTTGACATCCTACAGTTTAATTTGGACAGCTTAATTTGTACAGTTATCATTAACGATTTCAGTTTTCTTTTTCTGTGAAAAGTGTTAAAATTTGATCTGGTAACATTCAATATATTTGTCTTGGTGGGCGTGCCCTGCTGAAAGTGAAAAGTCCTGAAAAATGGATGAACCTTTTTAATAACTTGCTGTCTTTTGTAACGTTGCAGTGATAATTGTAGTACATCTATTGTAGACTACTTTCGGAGCTGTGATGGCGGCACTCCTCCCTGTGAGTGCACTTATGATTTGTGCTTAACCTGCTGTCGTGAGCTTCGTGCTGGGCTGCAACCAGGCGGAGAACAAGCGGAGTCTGCACAACAGCACTCTGAGGCAAGAGTAACGAAAGATGAATCAGACATGGAGGACGAGGAAGACCCTCAAGGAGACACTGTGCAGCATAGCCCGGATGTGCGGGAAGAGGATGAAGATATGCAGGATAATGAGAATAATGAGAAGTCAGCAGAGTCCTCAGAGGATACTGCAGAAGATGAGTTGCCCGATACTATGGAACCTGGTATAGGAACACACATGCTTCCAGGAATTCCTGGTAAGGAGGTAGTATTGTTACCAGAGATGTCTCCCAAGGAGGAGGGTGGCAGTGTTTTGGGGGACGAAAATGCTTCAAAAAATTCTTTATCGATAGAATCCAGAAAATCAGTATTAACGGAAACTGAGTCAGGGAAGCTGAAGGTGGAGAAAGGATTGCTAGGAGAGCCAGCAAATCCAACCTCTGTGCCGGATTGTGAAGCAACTAAAGATGCAACGAGTGAGTCAGCGCAGCAGGATGATGAAGTTATGATAGAACCTGCTGAGTTTAGGGAGGAGAAAGACGTAATAGCAGAGGCAGCTGAACCAAGTACTTCTAGGACTCCCAAAGCGGATGAAGTAGAGGATGGTGAAAGCAAAGAAACAGCTGATAGATCGGCTCATCAAGGTGTCGGAGGTGTGGATACTGGAGAACAAATGGGGTTCGTAAATGCTGGGGGTCTTTCTCTTGAACCTGTCATCCTTCCGCCGTGGACTCCACTTGAAAATGGTGACATTCCTTGTCCTCCGAAAATGCGGGGCGGTTGTGGGTGTCATACGTTAAGGTTGAAATCGCTTTTTGAGCATAATTGGGTTTTTCAATTGATCGAGGAAGTTGAAGAGCTGCTCCAGGATTATGAAAGTTTAGAGAAAGAAGACAGTTCTTGCTCTAAGTGTACGCATTGTGCGGAGAACGGTACTGTGCGATTGGCCGCTCATCGGACAGATGATAAAGACATTTATCTTTACTGTCCTACTCTACAAGAGGCTGAGAAAGATGGTTTATCACATTTTCAAAAGCATTGGAGACAGGGACAACCTGTTATTGTGCGAAATGTGATGGAGGGTGCCACCGGCTTGAGTTGGGAGCCGCTAACTATGTGGCGAGCCCTGAGAGAAACAACCCGAGGCAAATTTAAGGATGACAGCAAAACTGTTCGTGCAGTTGATTGTTCGGATTGGAGTGAGGTTATTCTCACACACATACAAATATATATATATATATATATATATATATATATATATATGTCCATGCTTGGTGTTAGATACTTTGTTTATTTTGTGTCTTCTAAATGTTCCATAGCATATGTCTCTGTGAATGAAGTTAATATTTTTTCAACCTCGAATTGCTGGCTGCAGACAGAGTTGAACTTCCATAAGTTTTTCATGGGTTACGAGAAAGGGTGGTTTGATAAAAATGGGTGGCCTACCATGTACAAGCTCAAGGATTGGCCACAATCTGCTCGTTTTGAGGAGCGACTTCCACGCCATGGGGGTGAATTTCTCGCATGTCTGCCTTACCACGAATACACTGATCCGAAGAGTGGCATCCTTAACCTAGGTTCAAAGCTTCCGGATGAAGCAGTAAAACCTGATCTGGGACCCAAAACATATATCGCTTATGGCCTACGTGAGGAACTTGGTCTCGGTGATTCAGTGACCAAGTTGCACTGCGACATGTCAGATGCGGTATTGCTTATTTTTTTCGACTTTGATTTTGATGTACTTCTGCTGCAACTGATTTCAGAAGCTCACATTAATAATCTTTTCATAATTGTGTCGGGATAATTGGGGAAGCTTACGAGGTGGTATTACATTGGTCTCACCTTGTCTCATGGAACAGGTAAACGTTTTAACGCACTCTAAAGAAGTCAAAATTTCTAAAAGCCATAGAAAGGAGATCTACAGGCTACGTGATCATTACAAAAAGCTAGCAGTTGAGCAGGTGAATGAATTCCTTGCTAGAACAAGTTCACAAGCGGCAGCAAAAGTGGCAAACAGAGACGATGATGAGATGCCTTTACACCCATTTAGTAACCCGGGGTCTAATGACGATACGATTATTGAAGCAAATGACATCAAACAAAGCGTCGAGACTGATAAAGCTGTTGAGGGGAAAGAGGATGGCACGGCTGTCACCGATATGAATGAGGCTGAACCTGCATATGGTGGAGCGTTATGGGATATCTTTAGACGAGAAGATGTGTCCAAGTTACAAGAATACCTGATTAAACATGTTGCAGAATTCCGGCATTATGGTGATTTGCCAGTTGACTCTGTAAGCCTCTTTTCACTGACCTTCACAATGAATCTTAGATGTGACTGCTCAGTATTCATGTTACCAACAGTTGAAAGTGTTCGACGTGAATGAATGCCATGCACAGATTTCGTAGTGAGTGAGTGTTGTGTATGTTGTTGATCATGTGCAGGTAGCACATCCTATTCATGATCAATCATTTTACTTGGATGAAGAGCACAAGAAAAAACTGAAGGATGAATATGGTAAGCGTTGTTTCTTGACTGCAGTATTTTTAACTTCGTTTTGCGAATAGTGCTCTAAATCGAATCCTGTACCATGTGTATGTCGCCTGTCTAATGTTTATGGGCCACTGTTCCTGATCCGGGTAGGAGTCGAAGCATGGACATTTGAGCAATATGAACAAGAAGCCGTGTTTATTCCAGCTGGTTGTCCACATCAAGTTCGCAACTTGAAGGTAATCATGATTCTCTGGCATGTAGTACGGTTTTGGATGAAGAAACCTCTATGTTGTACTACTTCGGATGAAGTCCACGAGTTTTACTATTTTGGATGAATAACTGGATGTGTGACAACTGTGTGGATGCAGTCCTGCATTAAGGTAGCCATGGACTTCGTTTCTCCGGAGAATGTTCTAGAGTGTGTGCGATTGACGAACGAATTCCGTCTGCTTCCTATGGATCATCGAGCGAGAGAGGATAAGCTGGAGGTATTTTGTCTTATTCTTCAGCTGCATTCAAGCCTTTATTCAAAGAAGTCATGGTTGTCGAGACTGTTCAACAAATAATTTCACTTTATCGTGTGTCCAGGTGAAGAAGATGATACTGTATGCTGCTCGAGAAGCCGTGGTGCATCTGAAAGGCAAACCTATGTAAGTTTTTTACTGAATTTATTACCCAATTTCTATTTTGCTATTAGTTTTTGTGTGTAATCGCAGACGTGCCGTAAGTAGCTTGGCGATGGCGATTAAATTTATAGATCATGCATCTTCATACGAAAGTACATGGGAAAATGAGTGCTACTTGATGTTAATGTTTGAGAGACTAACTCCAGTTTAATATTGGATGAGGATGTAGACATGGAGATGATCGTTCACAATAAATTTGCAATTCTGTCTAGATAATTTTAACTGTCTTTTAAGTGCTGTATTATGTGGGAGCCACTGTTCTGAATTGTTCACGTCCTGATGTTTGCAGAGAAGATGAATCAGTGGAGAAGGTTTATAAACGGAACATCAACAAGAGGAAAAAGAATCGCAGACATTTTTAGCATTGTTAATTCGTTCGAATTGGATTAATTGGTATGTGAATAGCACCGCTCCTCATTATCATATCAGAAAACATTGGTGTGTCGGCGGTGTTCCGTTAACAACGCCAGAATCGGTCGTAAAGTTGATTCATTATTAGCCACCCGTTCTGGTTAGACACATTTCACGCCACTGACATTACTCTTACAAGGGTTGTCTACAGAATGCGATCCAAAGTAGTAAGAGGTTGTTGACCAGTCCGTAGTTGAAGAAAGCTGAGGCTGCTTGTGACCAGCTATGTGTTCTGAAGGTGTACACACCTCAAACTCGTGGTTGGTGATGTGGTTCTTGTTACGACTCCGCATCTTCCCAGCTTTAAATTTCAACCCACGGAAACCACAGAGGATTTTAGGCTGGTGTTTTTTTTCTTTTCTTTTCCTTTTTAATCGATGAAGGATTTGTAAATTCTTGAGATTGTGTTACGTGTTTTTCCTTGAGATTAAATGCCCTGCAAATGGGTTCATTCATGTTTCTGCATATAGCTCTGTGCTGTCAATAAGGTTGTTGCTTAGATTTTTTTACTTGGTCTGTGTGTGACCTGGCATTCTAGTGCAGCATTGCACAGAAGGTTCGGAAGATCCTCTTTGGTAATCACGCTTTTATTGCCGCTCATGGGAGTTCGGTGTTTCCCATCCTGGTAATATTCATAGTTACAAAACAAGTAAGCGAAAAAAGTGAATCCTCTGGCATATACTGAATGGTGTCTGCCACGTCTGCTAGTCTTCCACCAGCAATTTTCTCTTATTAGTTACCTTTCACTGTGGTAAACAATTTCGAATAAAAAGTTTAGTATACGACCAAAGGTTGATGTTTCAAAATATTTCATTCCCAAAAGCAATCTCTTCTGACAGTTTCAATTGTTAAATGAAATTTTTATGTAAATTGTAAGTAGTCAAAGTATTATAGATTTCAAATGTACATTATGAAGTAGCCCTTTATATTACTTTTGGCATGTGTACTGTACATATTGTTGAGATAGATTTAATTGTATGCATATTAACAAATATATATATATATATATATTTGCGTGTGCGTGTTTGCGTTTACGTGCACAAGACAATGCAAATAATATTCATAATAATCAGACTATGATAATTAAAAAATAAAAAATCCTCTCGAAGTCGAATCAATTTTGTCTTTATAAAAACAAGATTGGTAAAAAATAAAAAAATAAAAAATAAACTGAAACATTCGGCAAATCAAACAAGATGATACGTTCAAAACCAGTAGAATCGAGACAGCATATATAAAGGAGCAAAATTAAATGCACACTTTCAATTTGCTGCGAAGATAAATACCGTGGAACGCTAATTAGGGTTAACAAACAACGAGGACCGTTTCAAAGGATGAAGAACATCTGACGCCTAATTTATTTATAAAACTTTGATCAATGGGAGCAACATGTGCGTGGGGCTCGCCACATGGCGACCCCAGGGAGTGCCACTCCCGAGGCTGCTTTAGATCTACGTGGCACCGCAAGGATCGGTCTGAGCTGGCGCCTCACGCCGGACCCCGCCACGTCGCCTTGCCAGGAAAGATGCCCGAGTATATGACTATGCAGTGGAGTATGGCTGTAATCAAATCAGACTTCACTTGATCCGGCGCTGCGAGATTACAAACACTGCGAGTCCAGATTCCCGATACTAGTCGAGGAGCTTTCCTAGGGATTTTGCTTCCCTCAACAGATCGACTGAGTGAGTGAGTGAGAGAGAGTGTTTCGGTTCGGGAGAATTGGAGATTGAGATCGGAATACTCAGCTATGTCGAGCATGGAGAGTCAACAGAACGCCGAGGCTGTGAACTACGCCAAGCAGCAGTTGGAATCGCAGGCGAAAGAGACTCAGGACAAGATGGGAGGACCTGAGAACAGCTCGGTTGTCACTGCGCAGGTCGTTGTGCCATCGGATGTCGGGAAGAAGGCCCAAGAGGTATATAGTGGTTTTGGCGTGTCATTTAGAAATTCCGGTTTGAATTTGGATGAGGTTTTAGTGTTTATGTGACAGGAGGTTGTCGATACGGAAGATGAGAATTTATTTATTTATTTTATTTTGAAACGTAATTGAGTGGATTGTGATTTATGTTATGGTTTATGTTTAAAGAGTTAATCCGATTGCATGTGGATGTGATGCTCAATTGCCTTGGCTGATTCGATGTATGCATTGTTGGTGGTGACACTCGAATTGACATGAGGCTGTTGTAAAATTAAACGTGCTCAATTCTCCACATTCGTTATTGTGGTCGGGAAAAATACGCAATTGATGGGAAACTTACGGGGCGGGAGTAGCGCTATGAAGTCTGAGTCGGATATTGATGGATCTCAGCTGGCACTGAATCGTGGTAACTGTGGTTTCAGAAAATGGCATACCTAGAAGGTGAAAATGAGAAACTTAAGAAGTCTCTCAAGGACTGCGAAGAAGCGCTTGCCATGGCTAACCATGAAACCGAGAAGTCCAACAAAGTAGCACGCGAAGCGAAGTCTAGGATATCTGAGCTGGAAGCTCGCGTCAAGGATCTGGAAGGAGAGGTTCAAGGTGCCGGTGCCAAGGCCGCTGAGCTAGAGCTTCAATTGAAGAAGGCAGATGAGAAGTATACCGAAGCTGAGAAGAAGATGAAAGAATACCAAGCCAAGCTTGGAGAATTGGAGCAAACGAACGTGAAATATGAGAAGGATTTGGAGGGTGTGCACACTGGCTTACAAGACAGGGAGATGAAGATTGAGGACATGAGTCAGAAGCTGGCTGATAAGGAATCCGCTCTTCAAGGGAAAGAAGCCAAAGTTGGCGATCTTGCTAATAAGGTGAAGTCTTGATTTAGAGCGATGTTTCTGATGCAGTCCCTTAAAGAATTAATAATTTTTATCTTTCCTTTTCCGATTCTGATTTGAATTAATAGGTAAATTGGAAGAAGACTTTGATTATATCTCTTTTTTACTATTGATCTACGCACTTCTGGCGAGGTTCTGAAAAATATTTCTCATCGTGCAACCAGGCTGATGAATTCAAGTCCCGCGCAATTCCAGCTGAGGAGAAGGCCTCCGAGCTCGACTCAGTTGCCGGAGACCTCGAATCGAAGGCTCAAAGTGCGGAGTCAAAGCTGACTGAGGTTGGTGAGGAAAAGGAGAAGTCCATAGTCTCCGTTGAAGAGTACAAGGAGGAGCTGAGGAAGTCTGTTGAACGCTCCAACATGTTGGCTGATGCACTTGCCAATGAGAAGGAAAAGACTGGCACTCTCAGGGCTGAGATTGAGAATTTGAAGAAGAAGTACGATGCCAATGCTGGTCATGGACGTGTGTTGGCTGAGCGCATCGCTGAGCTTGAAAAAATCATTGGTCAAACTGAGGCGGAAGTTGGTGAGGTTGAATCTGACAAGAAGGAGTTGGAATCTGAGGTGGCAACTGAAGAGAAGAATAAGGAAACTGCAAGCAATGAGGCGAAGGAGTTGAAGCAGGAGAAGGGAGGATTGATAGACAGCATTGGTGGCTTAAAGAGTAAGATGATGGGAGCATTCTCTAAAGCTGAGGAGAAGGAAGCCATCGCAGAGGAGAAGGCAGCTGAGGCTGCTGAGAAAGACGACAAGATTGACAATGTTGAATCGAGCCTAGAGGACGAGGCTGCAAAGGCGCAAGACAAAGCCAACGCTGAGAAGAGTTTGGCTACCGAATTGGACGCCACTAAATCTAAGGCTGCTGCTGGTGAGGAGTCTGCTGCCAACCTGCAGGAGAAGGAGGCTGCTCTCGCTGCAAAGGATGATGACTTAAAAAATCACGCCGACCGCCTCACAGATTTGAGCACTAAGCTGAAGAACTTGCGTTTGGAGCGTGATGAGGCTGTGCAAAAGGCCGAGGGTGTCGACGAGAAGGTGAAGGCTTTGCAAGACAGAATCAAGGAGCTTGAGCAGGAAGTTGAGGCCTTGAACAAAAAGAACGCAGAGCTTGAGAGCCAGCTCCAGTCTGTTGGCGTGCAAGTGGAGGAGCACAAGGAAGCCATCCAGGGCCGTGAGGATGAAGCTGTCAAGAAGGCTGAGAAAGCAGCTCAGTTGCAGGAGGAGGTGAAAGAGACTGAGCAGGACATCAAGAGTGATGACAAGAAGTTCGTGCAGGATGTGAATACCACCACAACCACCACAACTGAAGCATAAATTTCGAGGTCATGATGTCTCAATTATTCTGTAACGAATCCTTAACCACCGAAGTTGCTAATCGAAGGGAGCTTATCGGATCTTAGACACCTTCACCTCCAGGCAGGGCAACATATAAACGATAGAGCGTAATTAGAGTGTACATGAGGTGTTATGTGTTAGATATACTTGTGTTTCTGTCACGGTGTACATGTGAATGTACTATTTTCTCTCCTGTCTCAAGGATGTGAACATATTGTGCATATGTATTTCCATAACCTATTGCGCGACTTCACGAGGTCTAGAGGGAGTGCAAAAATGGATCTCATCAATGTAGTATTCACTATGGATATTTTCTTTCGGGAACATCGTCAAATTCATCTTGATTATTATCTTAATAAACTATCTCAAATAAATTATCTTGCAATTTTGAAACTTCGATGCTTTATTCTTTCAATTTCCAGCTCTTGCAATGAATAGGAAAACTGATAAACTTCGGGAAACTTCAAAATTATTGCTCGTCTTACTACGCTTATTGCCACATCGGAAATTCTCATGTGAAAACTCTCTACTGAAGCTTATCGACATAATTGTATAATCTCTATCATTGGAGTAGCTATTTGTGGAGGGCGATAACCTTGTAAAATATTTCTTGGAGATGCACAGGATATGCGCAGTGATGGCCAGTGATTGCCCTGGGCAGAAACCTACAATGATGGCATAAGAGAATTAATCAGTATAATTTATGAAGTAATTAACTGAGAAATTTCCCGATAAATTGAGCAATCTAGCCTCCTTGGAATATAAATGGAGGTGCAACTTTATATACCCACAATAAAAGCATGAGTCAGCCGTAGTATCTTGCTTTTATATGATATAAAAAGAAAGATTCCGAATGCTTCGGCATTTCTGTGCAACAGTACCAATAAAAAAGTTTAGATGTATTACATAGAAGGCAGCTTCGATCCTCTATAATTGGTCACTCTAATTAAAGAATATAATAGTGAAGTTCCATCAACATGTTAAGAATTGAATATTCATTTCGAAGGAGGGTGCACAGGTTGGCAAAATCGTCCTCATCAGAGAATAGCATTGATTTGCACCCGAATGCGGGCTTATATTCTAGATGAGTGGTGTCAGTGCATTCTGCTGAATAAACAACCCACTAAAATTGCTCGGAACTAGTACTTGGTGTGTGCTAAGCACTGCGGCAGCGAAGAATATATTGTAAGCCTTACATGGCAAAGCTAAGGCTATAACCTAATTGAAGAAGTACTCTCGGGTTGACATATCACTATGTATCAATATATTAACCATATATTGCAAGGCCTGTCATATTATATCCATTCGTTTCATATAATTATTAACACTATTCATTCGGTGCCCAAAATTCAGGGCTGCTGGTGCGAGTCAATGAAGCCAGCATCCACAAGCACCTTCTCTCGCTTCGCCTTCTCCAAATCACCATCCACCATCATCGCCACCAGCTGCTTGAACTGCACCTTAGGCTGCCATCCCAGCACCTCCTTCGCTTTCTGCGCACTGCCTCGCAGATTGTCCACCTCCGAAGGACGGAAATATCTGTAAGCACCACAGTCGACGATCGCTGGTTAAGATATATCTCTTTCGCACTCACCAATCTCAATTTCAATATATGTAACCCCACCTGGTTAGATACTCCCGGCACTTGTTTTTTGTGCTAATTACCTAGCCTAGTTCACTTCGGTACTTACCCAGGTCGCAATATCTGTTTACAAAACCTAAAAGCTATTTGGAAACAGGTGACCCTGAAGCGTTGTTCGATATCGCTCACCTGGGATCAATCTCGACATGGTCCTTCCAGTTCAGACCAACATAGCTGAATGCCTCTTCCAGAAACTCCTCCACAGTGTGGGAATCCTCCGTCGCGAGCACGTAGTCGTCGGGCTTCTCCTGCTGTAACATCATCCACATTCCCTCCACGTAGTCTCCGGCAAATCCCCAATCACGAGACGCCTTCAAGTTACCTAGATACAGCTTCTTCTGCAGGCCCACCTTGATGCGACCAATGGCTCTAGTGATCTTCCTCGTCACGAAGTTCTCTCCTCGGCGGGGAGACTCGTGGTTGAACAGGATGCCGTTGCATGCAAACATCCCGTATGCCTCTCGGTAGTTCACGGTGTAGAAATGCCCTGCCACCTTGGCGACGGCGTAAGGGCTGCGAGGATGGAACACGGTGGTCTCGTCTTGAGGCGGAGGAGTGGCACCGTACATCTCAGAAGATCCAGCTTGGTAGTACTTCACCTGAACATTTACAACCATTACGACGGTATTTAAGTGAGAAAGTGCGCCACTTCACGAAGGCAAGCCTCAAAAATTAAAAAAGAAAAAACACCCCGGCGTAGGCCACATGCTAGGCTACGCGCATTACTAAAGATTCCGGTGATGATCAATGATCAGGCAGGATGACTTTCGGAAATGGTTTCAAGAGTACTTACCAGCCTTCCGGTGGCTTGGATGTGAATTCGAATAGCTTCCAACAGCCTTAGCGTTCCGGTGCCTACCACATCGGCGGTATAATCCGGATTCTCAAACGACACTCCCACATGAGACTGCGCCCCCAGATTGTAAACCTCATCCGGGCGGATCGAGTCAACCCATTTCCGCAATGACGACGCGTCTGACAGATCTCCGTAGTGCAGTTTCATGCGAGCGCTGGACTGGTGCGGATCGATGTAGATGTGCTCCAAACGCTGAGTGTTGAAGTTCGAGGATCTTCTGATGATCCCATGCACTTCATAACCCTTCTTCAACAAGAATTCGGTCAAGTACGAGCCATCTTGGCCGGTGATACCAGTGATGAGCGCCCTCTTCGAAGCCGCCGCCTCTTGAGACATTGCAAACAATCTGCAAGTTTGCGAAACAGTTCATCAAAACTATCTAGTGGTCGCAGCTGATCGTATAGCATCATAAAGCTTTGATTCATCGTAGCATTTGTCGGTAGATTCTTATCGACTTTTAACTACTTATTTGTACTAATCTCAATTGAAACGTACAATGTGACGAACCTGAGAGGATAAGCTACAAATAGAACTCATGCTCGAGACCATCTCGTAGTTGGAATCTAATTGGAGCTAAACCCAAGGTTGGCATTCTGCTGGCTACTAATGGTGGTCCAACAATACACGAAGTAATCATTTTCCAAATGCTGCAGATTCAGTAGCTAATCCTAGCCAGAAAGCATACCGTACCGAGCCCACACTTGCAAGCGTACTGCACATCGATCAAAGAGGCAAGCTATAACCGCTAAGCATCTCTTACCTGCTCCGAGACCGCACAATTTGCTCTACGATGTCACCTCGCGAACTGAAACCACGAGCAGAGAGAGCAGTCGAGATTGACAAACGTCTGGCGATCGCCTCTGCCAATCTCGGTCTCAGATACACGACGTGATTCCAGTGCTCCAAGAGTGGGAAACAAACGAAGTCGCAACGCTATTTCACAATCACCCAGCCCTGCTGTACTTATACAAAGAATTCAGATCCATGATATCGCAAGTGGAAGGGAGCGAAGGGGGCTCCGAAAGCGGGGCCCGGGAAACTCCCTGAAGCAGGCCATCATGTGCACACCCCCCCCTAGAAATGGCGGATCCATGGCCCCTATGGCTGAACATGGCGCACGAGGCACACACCTCCAGCTGCAAAGGTCCCTCCCCCACAGTTGCAGGAATACGAGATTAGCGACGGGAATAGTAACAAATACTCTCGCAGCGCAGCTCCGCATCGGTGGCTGGACAGTTCCTCCTCACGGGCAGCTCACGTGTGGGAATTCGTGACGACGACGAGGAAGCATCGCGCGCTCAATCACGCGTCCCTCCGATTCCGTCACTGGCAGTGCTCCATTTTAGGGTTTGCGGTGTGGAGAGTCGTACGGTCCCATATTTGTATATATAAGTGTTGATGTTGGGATTTTGTGTTTGATTATAGATATGGCAAATATGCAATAACACTTTATTTGGGACATTTTTGGACGTTGTCGATTGTTTGTCTCGTCATTTATTGACACCACTCTTCTTTTCACATGTGGGTGATTGTTTGTTCTACCATATCATTCTTTAGGATGGGATGGTAGACCTTGTTGTGCTTTCAAAATCCACAAATGTTGCAGAAGATGAATGAATGAAGGGTGTTGTCTACCATTTTGATTTTGATTATGTTTGTATATATAGGTAATTAAGTAGATAATCTTTTTTCAAAGTTTCGTATACAAAGAGATTGCTTTGGAATGTTGCAAATCTTTTAGTTAAAAATAAAGTTAAATTAAATGAAACAATTGAAATTACAAATTTATTCCTAATAGTACAAATAATTATGTGTATTTATATCAATGAAGATTTATAATAAAATAATAGTGATTATAGTTTTTTAAACATCTAAATCTATAAAATAATAGAATCAATTAATGCACCAAATATATTATATTGATATAAGATCAAATATTTTTCTTTAACATATAAATAATATTAAAAAATAATATTTTAATGAGATATATATATATATATATATATATATATATAAAGAGAAAGATTTTTTAAATCTTAAGTGTACATATGTCAATTTAAATTCCAAATAATTTGATAAATAATAAAAATAAGAATTAATTTTTGAATGTATATAAAGTTATAATTCAACGCAACAAAAAAAATCAATTGACTAATATATGAAATTTTGAAAATAAATTAGATAAAATTATATATATATATATATATATATATATATATATATATATAACTATATATATATACTTACAAGCATATATATTTATATTAGTGCTAAAGGTCCTTGCTTTATTTTAGGAATATAAAGTTAAAGCAAGTTATTATTGTATAACAATTATCATGGACATACATATTTACTTAAATAAGAAGTGTTAGATAGAAGATAAATATAAGTAGATTTGATATTATCTTGTATCAAAGCTTTTTAGAAGCTTTATAGACACATATTTGACTTTAAATGTGTTTGTAGTTGATTGGTAGGTTAGAAATTTGGCCAATAAGTTATCTATGTATCACACATGTTAATAGCTTGTGAAACAAGCTAACTATGTGGTATATATATAGGAAACTTGTCTTATAAGTTGTACACTTGTCTCATAAGTTGGACACCTGTCAAAGATTCTATAGAATGTCACTATGTAGATCTTAATTAGATAGTATATATGGAAGCAAGAATGAAGCCTTCTTTACTCTTGTCAATGCCTTTTCAATTCTTTGTCTTATTTTAAAACTTTAGTCTTCTTGTCTTTAGCAATAGCCATTCTAATTTTATATTATTCCATCTTTGAGTGATTATTTAGTACTTTTGAGTGATATAACACTGTATTGATCTTTTGAGTATTTGAGATTCATGTCTTTAATAGTTTGATAAGACTACTAGCTCATTATTTTAGTTTTTTTTAGAAATCAGTAGATTAATCCACTTCTATTTTTATATTTTAAAGATTACGAATTACCAACCTTCAAACTAATATTCTAGTTTTTTAATAGTAAATTTTATTGTTAAACAAAGTGGATTAGTTTTTTTTATAATTTTTTTTATTTGTTATTAGAGATTACAGTTTATTATTATAGACATACATATTTATTCTAATATTTACCTATATAATTAAGTAGAAGTTGATAAAAATAGATTTATTTCATAATATTTTATAAAAAAGCTTCCTAAAGCTTTATAGATGCTGCTTTGACTTTACATGTATTTCTAGTTGATTGATAGGTTAAAAACTTGATCAATAAGTTAACCACGTATTAATAGCTTACAAAACAAGCTAATTATGTGGTATACATATAGAAAACTTGTCTTGTAAGTTAAGATACATATCTTATAAAGTCAACACATTTTGGAGGTTGGATAAGACATTGCCGTATAGCTCTTAGTTAAGAATATACACAGAGGCAAGATTGAAGCCTTCTTCACTCTTGTCAAGGTCTTTCTAGTACTTAGCATTGTTTCAAGACTTTATAGTCTTCTTGTTTTTAGCAATAGTTATTTTGATTTAATACTATATCATCATTGAGTGACTTTTTAGTTCTTTTCAGTGAGACAAGAATGTAATGAGGATTTCTTTCTTAAAAATTCATAGCCTTGATAATTTGATAAAAGTACTAATTTACTATTTCTATCTTTTTTTAGAAGTGAGTGGATTATCCTATTTCTATTGTTGTGATTTGAAGGTTACAAACTATCAACTTTTAAATAAATAATCTTTTTTTTTAACACTAATTTTTTTCTTAAAAAGAATGGATTATCTCTCTTTATTAAAATTTTTATTTAATATTAGAAGTTGTGGATTACTTTCATCTAATTTAATTTTTTAAATTTATTTGAATTGTCTATGGAAAGAAAAATTATAGATGTTATTCTTAGTAGAAGTAAGAATAGATTTGTAACTATTGTAAATTTTTATAAGCTTGTCTACACTGTAAGAGTAAAAGATTTACGCATTTTCAACATGAATTATGGAAATTCTATTCCTATGTCTATGGAAAAAGTTGAAAATTTCCTTCAAAAAGTTATGCAATTGAAAGAAGTAAGTAGATTGGCCTCACAACTAAATCCAAGGAATTTTGCTTCTATAATTATAACGAAGATAAGGATTACTATACTTGAGAAGTTTGATAGAAAAAGATCAAAATTTCAAGGTTTTTTGCAACAAGTCAAGCTCTATCTGATGTTGCATTTCTTTCAATATCCTGATGGATTTAATCAAGTCAGATTCATAGGTACATTTTTATCAAGAAGTGCTCTCTTTTGGTTTGCACCTTTAATGGAAAAGGATTCACGACTCTTTTATGATTTGAATTCATTCCTAAAAGTGTCTATGGCCATATTTGGAGAAAATTATTGAAAAAGATTAGTAGAAATCAAGCTCTTATCTTTACAGCAAGAATCACGATCAGCTACCATATATGTTGCTAAATTCCAAAACCTTACTTGCAATGTGGACTAGAATGATAAAGCCTTTATCAATCAATTTTGATATGGATTGAAAGATAATGTCAAAGATTTGTTATTGACAATGCCAAAGATAAAAACTTTGAAATAATTTATTGCTTAAGCCATTGCATGCAATAATTGATTATTTGAAAGATGTCAAGAATAAGGACTTAATTGGAGAGGAACAAGTGAAATAATGATGGCAAGTCCTAAGTTCTTAGAAACTTATTTATTAAGACTATAATCAATGCAAATTGATACAATACATTTTAAATACCTTACAAAGTAAAAAAAGACTCACTAACATCAAAAGGGCTTATACTTATATTGTAGAGAAGCTAAATATATTACTTAAAATTATCCAAAGAAATGACGCAACTGCAAAATGAGAAACATGGTTGCCAAAAAAGACAATGTATTGAAAAATAAGTTTTTCTAGGTATAATAAGGCTGTGGAGCTAGAATCTTTTGTAATTCCTAATAAAGCTCTTGTTTTTTCTTTAGACCTCTTACCTTATTTTATAATTGAAATTTATTTAGAATAAAAAAATCACAAAGTCTTAACTTTGTTAGATTTAGGAGCCTTAGCATGTTTTGTAGATGAAGATTTTGTCAAAAAATAAGAGATATCATTAATCAAAAAAACTAAACTTGTACATGTAGAAGTCATAGATGATCATTCGCTATCTTCTAAAGATGTTATGTATGAAACTAATCTTTTAGATGTAGTAATTAAAGATCATAATAGCATAGTAATATTTAATATAATAAGATTTTCATTTAATTTGGTTATTTTAGAATTAACTTGGTTAAAAAAATATACTTGTCAAATAGATTGGATTTTTTACAACCTTGATTTTTTTGGTAGTTTAATCCAAAATTTTATTAATTAAGTAAAAATACATAAGTCTAATACATCTAAACTCTTATCGTTAGGTACAAAAACTTTTATGCATGCTACAAAAGGAAGTTCAACTTTTGTTATATATGTCATATCCATTTGTGATACTGAAAAGACATCAAATAGTATTCCTAGCTAATATCAAGATTTTTAGGATGTTTTTTTTAAAAAGAATATAAATATTCTTTTGGAATATTATCTTTATGATTGTTCCATCAATTTTTACGAAAGAGTTCAATTACAATTTGAACCAATCTATAGTCTATGACAAAATGAGTTGGGTACATTCAAAGAATATATTAATGAAAACTTAGCTAGGAGTTTTATATGCCATTTTAAATCTCCAATTGGGACTCTTATCTTATTTGTGAAGAAAAAAGATAGATCTTTGTGGATGTGTGTGGACTATTGACGACTCAATAAGATCAACATCAAGAATAGATATCCTCAATCTTGGATTTTAGAACTTCTTGATCAATTCAATCAAGCAAAGATCTATACAAAAATAGATCTATGAGCAACATATAATCTAATACGCATTAAAAAAAAGATTAATAAGTTACAAAAGTTAGAGATATAGGATTATATGCAAATTTAGAGATATAGGATTATATGCAAAGTTAATATTTGTTTTTACAAAATGAACTTCTATTTACTTTGTAGGACCATAAATAAGGCAAAATAGAGTAAATTAGAAAATTAAATGATATAAACATAAATAAGAGGAAGTTGAAAGTAG